TCCTGTAGAACGTTGTCTGTTGTTGAGAACATGGTCGACTGGAATCACAGCGCGAGCTGCGCCAAGACTCTGAGACAGAGCATAATCTTGATCGAATCACTGCCTGTTCTCTGCCATTCACCATCTAGATATTCCTTAGATACAATCTGTTAATGGACTTTGATCTAATGATGGACTGTTAGGTCTCTGCGGGTGTTTTAGTGAAATTTTCTTGCTTCTGCACTCCCCGTTTGCAGCCAAGTTTAATAGGATGCGTTCAGTCACACTGAATTTATTTAGGGAAATGTTGTCCGTGCACCCTCTTCCCTTGAAGATAGGCGATGTGAGGGAGTTTACCCATTCGCCACGCTGCAGTGTGTGTGTGTGTGTGTGTGTGTGCTGGCAGGGAGGCGGCAGCAGCAGTGTGTCTGAAGCAGCGTAATCTTTCTCAGGGGCATCTTTCTTATGCTCTTTGCCTCTCCCCACTTCTATTTTTCCCTCTTTCATTGTCTTTTTCAATGGGTTTTTGAGGTTTTCACCGGTGCCAGTTGCGATATTTTTCATTCATCATAGATTGTGTCCTCTGACAGGCTCTTTTCCCAGCTGTCCTCTTACCGTGGCTCAGAATTGATTTGACTGTGGTAGATGTGCGGTCTGGTGTTGAGATGGTTTTCACCTTGTTATGTCCTTGCGCTGTTTTACATGGAGGAAATATGCCTGGTTGGTTTTAGAGAAGATATATTCCCATTAGGATTTTGCAGTAGCAAAATCGAGCAGCTCTTTATGCACGTTAGTTCAAGACAATTTTGACTTGCTTAATCACAGTGCTTTAGAGAAGAAGTTGTACCGCAAGTTTGTGTGGTGTGGCGATTATTGTTATTACAGATTTGAGGGTGTGTTATAACTCGTTAGATAGCATTTTCTGTCGTCTGGTGTCTGGAATGTTATATTAAGTAATAAAACTAGTTACTTTAGGTTTAATGATTAGACGAAAGCTAGTCAAACCTGACTTTTCCTGAACAAATCATGGATTTTCCATTAATATTCCTTTTGGATCAATGAACGAGCGGCCGTTTTATGGCGCAGGAGTGATTAGCCAGCTTATTCAGTGTGGCCAAAGAGCTCGGATCACATACGTGACGCATACTGTGTGCTTCACTTGCCAAAACCAGCGCTCCCCTGAGGTCCTGACCAGCGCTAATGAATTCACAAAGAATGGGGCTCTTCTGCTTGAGTGCCAATCCATCTGACTTCTCCACTGGAGCACACACACACAAGATACAGTATGTCTGTGTTCCCAGCCTGGCTTGTTATTCACATAGAGTAGTCGAGGCCTGGCAGATAGCAGAAATGTAGTACAGTACGTCACTCAGCATACAGTATGTAGCCTTCAGCCTTTAGATGTAGTATGAGTTAACCTACAAATGCTTTGTGAAAACTCCGCGATTCATTAAATATGTGAGAATAGGATTTAAATAGTGTGTTTTAACAGTTTATGTTAGTGATGGGAATCTTTAGGCACCTCAAGATCTGATTCTTAAATGATTCTTGATCAATTTATATATTTTTTTCTTACTAATTAATGAGTTTACTGACTTTGAGTCCGTAATAAGTACAAATTAATAATAAATCGTAACAATTATATGTTAAAGGGATAGTTCCAAACCTGTATGCATTTCTTTCTTCTGTTGAACACAAATGAAGATATTTTGAAGAAAAGTTGATGAACTTCCATAGCATTTTTCCATAATATTTTTTTTACATTTTAATTGATTTATTTAGGGTGAATTATCACCCTAATATAAGTATTATTGAATAATTAAATATAGCTTCAGAACACAGCATAGCAAATATAAAGTAATTGATCAGGCTGATTGGCAGCATTTCTAATTGCCACAGAAAATAATTTTGACTGATTACTAAGTTTTTAAAATCAAAAGCAAACATTTTCATGTAATTCTCTTGCAGTGGAAGTCTTTGGGGCAAGATCTTATTCTAAGATAAATGTTAAAATATAAATTGTTTGAAAATATAGCGAATATGTGGTTGTATATACTGTGCCAACTGGTAGAGATTCAGCTGTATACTGCGATTTATGTGTGGTGTAATTAATAATTAATTCCCACACTGAGCAGAAAACTATTTTGTAAATATGTCTACTTCCAGTGTAGACAGCTTTGTTGGTTTTAATGGGAGCGGTGTAGTTTTGAGGAGCTGTGCCACACATTTCCAGAGTAATGATGATGTAATGGTTGGTTACAGTTGCCGAGCAGCTCCATGGCTTGTTGCATTAGTTCAGAATTCAGTAGATGAGTATATGTGCATATATTTACAGCAGCCTCCAACACCACTCATTTAGTCATAATGTGTTACTGTTTTGGGGTTGACTAAAGTGTTTCATAATGTAAAGCTGTTTTTTTTTCCTTCTTTTTTTTGCACGATGCCAGAATTATCCTTGAGTTGTTATGAATAATATTATCTGAAATATGAATATTTTTAAACATAGTTATTACGAAATGGTAATGCTACATGCATTGAATTTCCAGTAAAAATAGCTATCGTGATACAGTCATTGCGCCCACTCCTAAAGACTTAAAGGGATACTCCACCCCAAAATGAAAATTTTGTCA